GCGAGGGACAAAGAAAAAAATTCTGAGTTCCCATGAGAAATCGAACCAAAGACTTTCGGATTTATTATATATCGAAAAAAAACTGATTGTTTTTGTTTATTTCCCACAGGTATAAATCTCTTTTCTTCTCCTCTTTAGTTGGGTTGCATTCTCATGGTAATTTCAGGGGCGTAAAAATAATGTCAATAATAAAACGTGCAGACGATAGAATTTTTATTTGCCACTGTGGGTGTGAAGAGTCTGAGTTGTAGAGGTATCCTTGACTCCGTCTGAAGCTCAGGCAGAAAAAGAACAGCCACCTCAATAAATTAAGTGAACGAAACAATAGCAAGGTCAGTAAAGAATAACAGGGTAATTTAGTGTTATCAACTGAGTTGAAAACGTAAATTGGCCACCGTAAAGAGTTCAAAGGCTGACGTTTCGAGTGTTAGCCCTCCGTCAGAGCGATTGACGAAGGGTTAACGCTCGAAATGCCACGGCCTTTAAACTCTTTACGGTGGCCAATTTATGTTTTCAACTCAGTTGTTAACACTAAATTACCCTGTCATACACTCCCACCGACGCAGCACCACAGTTTCTTTAGAAACTTGCCCCCTTTTTTCATTAGAGAATGTATTTTTTGCGAGAGGTTCCAGATTGGACAAAGAGATTTTTAAATTTCACATATGAATGAAACCGTGGTTAAATTGGTGTTTTAAATACGTGTCTTGAACGAGTCATTTATGATGACAAACGAGTCATTTATAACTCGAGTGAAACAGACTGCAGACTGACTCCAGAAAGTTTCTGAACGTCTCAATACCTCTCCTAAGTCATTTTGTCCCTGTTCCACGAAAGAGCAACAACAGCCTTCTCAATTAATAAATGAAGTGAACGAAACAATAGCAAGGTCATTAAGGAATGTATTTCTGGTGGGAGGTTCCAGTTTGAACAAAGAGATTTTCATGTGAATGAAACCGTGGGTAAATAAGTGTTTTCAATTCGTGTCTTGAATAAATGAGTCATTTATCACTCGAGTGTAACAGACTGCAGACTGACTCCAGAAAGTTTCTGAACGTCTCAATACTTCTCTGAAAACTTAAGTTATTTCGTTCCTGTTTGAACTCTTTCACCTGAGCAAAAGATTACGCTCTTCTGACACTGCATTTCATCTTCCTTCTTTTCAATCGGTTTATCTCGCTTCTGCCTCTTCATTCTCTCTCCTGTGGCGGAGTTTCTTTTGGCATTCTTTTTCTCAAAAGAATAGTTCATTTTCTTTGTACAATAATCAACTGGGCCCAGTTGTATAAAGGGCGGATAACGCTATCCAACGGATGAATCGCTATCCGGCGGATAAGTGATAGCAACACGTAGAGAGTTATCCACCGGATAGAGTAGTTATAAAAAGCGGGTTGTGACACATTTTGAGGGATTTAAAGCCCTCGCATGAAGTCGAAGCGAGTGGTCACTCAGTCCAAGATGGCGCCCAAACCCTGACTGAAAGAAAGAAGCAACACAAATAGTATCCGTTCAAACGTCGAACGCAATAGTATATCAGCGCTATTATTGTTACCATTATGATTAGCATCATTACAGTTATAATCACTATTAATGAATAAGAGTGATCAGCATCTAATTTCTCCCTATAATATCCCCTCCCCCTCACACATCATGGTCAGGAGAATAAAGGTAACGATCCCGAACTGAAGAAGATCTTGATTGCTAAAAAAATTCTCCTTGTCAGTACCTCAGGAGATAAATAGGGAAGAGTATATATTGAGAGACGCTTCAATTTGGGAAGATGTTTGACAAATTTTCGATCTTTTCTTCCGGCAGGATGAACGTGTGTTTGCTACTTATTTTGGCCATGCTGGTTACCATGACAATGGCTTTGTCTCCGCGTAAATTACATCGTCACGTCAATGACGAGGATCGGCCGGTTTACAACGTAACAACTCTTAATGTTTTTTTGCATATGTTTTGTCGTTTGTTTACATAAATCCTGCGTTATATTTCTATACTTTTTTAGGTGAAATAACTAACATGAATCACAAATGTATCTCACTTTCAAAACTCTCTTCTGTGTATCACGGTTTTTTTTGTCGCCTTATGAGGATCCATCTTGTCTAGTATGCGTCGATCAGTTCGAAGCTTTAACATCCCTTCACTCGGGTATTTGACCTTTTGAGGACTGAGGATCGGCTGGTTCAAATTCCCACCCGCTTCCTCCGAGCCACAATTGCGTTCAAATGCCCCTCCTAATATTGAAAGATTCTTTGTTTGGTCAACGAATGTTGTGGAATTTAGCGAAGCCAAATTTCAGTTTTTTGTACATGTGCTGCTGCTGGATTTTTCGCTTGTAAGTATCATTCTGTGATGTGAAAATTGTCCCTCTCACGAAAGCAGATTCTTTTCCGTAAAATTCCTCCATTACACCACGTGTGTTACTCTGTAAAGACTTTACACTTCAAGTTCAAATGCCCCACCACACCACGGCAAGGTTCAAATTCCCCAACCCATTGGGCACGTAAGGCGTTCAAATGCCCTTGGGTTGCCCGGGGGATGTTGAAGCTTCGATGTCACCTTAATGTCGACCCTAGACAATCAATCCTAAGATAATCATGCGATCAACATGATCCACCTAACTTCACTTCTCTAACATAAAGGCATGTCAAAGATAATTCAATTTTGCCATAGTCTTAAGACTATTTTCTGTACATTATAAATCTTCAGGAACGTATTAGCTGATCGAGCGGTGGAGAAGATGCACATTTGTAACCTTTGAATAGTGTTTTTTTTTTTTAATATGGCTGAGCTATGATTTTGTCAAATTTCCCCTGACCTTAGACAATATCCCCTACCCGACACAAACTTTGTGACTTATAAAAGGCCAATCACAATGGGAACTTTCAGTTAAGTCGTGGTGTTTAAAGTATTCTCCAAAAATTTCAAATCCTCAGAAACGTGGTAACTGCGAGAGCTGTGGATCAGGACAGTGTTGCGACCCAGGCACTTGGTTAGTTGCGAAAAAAAAAACAGTTGCTATCAGTTCTCCAGGGAATCATATAATTGAAAATTAGAATCAAAAGAGCTATTCTCATTTATCGACAGTTATAACAACGACTGCTATCCGCCACTTGTAGATTGGCAGCATTCTTTCTCACCTCGTACCTCGTTGTCCGCGTAAAGTGTGGATGGGGACTGAACGTTCTCGACAGGTCTCCCTGAATAAGGTCATGCTCCCTGCTTGGGTTCAGGTTTTGGCGAATGTAAAACACCTGTGGACTAGGCAAATGGATTGCATGCCAGGGTTGTTTGATGGTTTAAGTTAGCTTCATGCTTCAAAACAGAATCTCTAGGGCCATTGAGCAAGCGCTGTTGATATTTGCAGCTCAGTGCGGAATCATATGATCAAAAATTTAATTTCATATTGCTTTTTCCCATTTTTTAACAGTTATAACAACTTTTGCTATCAACCAATTGTGGCAGTGCCGGTGGATGAAGAAAAAGAAGAGGAAACAGAGGCAAAAGAACAACGCCGAGTCTACAGTGGCATCTTGAACAAGGAAGAGGACTGAGTTGTCAAAGGTAGTTAAGTAATATGAACGCGCTTAACGTTTTGAGAATAACAGATGAGAGATAGAATATATTTGCATATGACGTCATCTTTCCGTTAAGTTCTATTACAATAACGTCCTTTTCAGCATTATTGTATACGAAATTAACCCTTTAATCCTCAAGAGTGAAAGTACGCGCACTTGCTTCTACACGCAAAGTCTTTGGACAACATCGTCCTCGAAGAGATACCGCTGGCCTAGCATACTGCATATATGACACACGAAATTAACCCTTTAATCCCCAAGAGTGACCAACTTCTAATTTCTCCTTTCAGTTTCACTCTTGAATCCAACGCAAAAAGTCATGAAACGATCATTGATTCAGGATGCTCCTGATTGTCAAAAAAATTCTCCTTGTCAGTATCAGAGGGAATGTGTAGGGAACAGTGTGGTGAAATGTATACTGGTGTTGGGGTGTAAAGGGTTAATTTACCAATGAGACACTTACCTCTGAATCCAAGTTGGGGGGTGGGAAGGGGGAATGAGGAGGAGAGATGGGGAAGGGGACTGGGGGAAAGGCGGGATGCGGAAAGCGGAAAGTGGGCGAAAATTATACATACAAACTAATTTTTTTACACATTCTGTACCAAAACGAAAGACAAGCACGGCTAGCTTTTTATGATATGGAACAAACAATGAAGTTAATTTTCTTGTACGTTGATTTTTATCATTTTTCTTTTGCTCACAGTGCTGCCAACGTCCCCTATTTTTGATGCTTTTCGATGAACAGGAACGATAATTTCAAGGCGATCGAAGTAATTGTAATTGTGTGCACTGTTTAGAAGTATTTTCGTTTTGTCTCATGGGGTGTCATGGTAACAGTGTGTTTCAGAACTATCAAGGTCATCATTCAGTTAACCTTCAGCTTGAATAAAATGTAATCTTATGAAAACGGACGGTCACTTTGTTTGTTTGTTTTGTTTCTAGCCATAATTTTAAGAAGAGATCATTCAGGAACACAGTATGCTACGGAGCTATTTTAAAACTCAAAGCGTCAAGCACGACTCAGCCAAAACTAAGAACCAATCCTGCTTGAGAAGATAAGGCGAAGTCAAGTATATCAAATATACCTCTAACTAACAGAGTAACCAAACTGTAAGTTACGGACCGAGTTTTTTTCCGCACGTATTCATGGCCCGCGCGCGAAGCGCTAGGGCCATAAATCCAAGCGGAAAATATGAGGTTCCGTAACTTACAGTACGGACCGATAAACTAGGGTAGTAAAGTATTAACTATACCTGTAAAGTTCAAATGGAGGGGGAGGATTTGAATTCAGACAAACCTTTGAATTTAGTGGACCCTACAGTGAAATTCGGCTCGCTAAATTGGCCAATAAAAGCACACGCTCTAACTAAGAGAAATAATAATACTGCCGTAATTAAAAACGAAACAAATCAAAACAAATTGAAGGAGGTCAACATTTCGTTTTTTGAAACTTAAAATGGAACAATTTTTGAAGATTACAAGATTTTCTGTAACTGGGTAAGCTCACAATGATCTTCCATATCCAAAATGAATATCATCTAGCTATAACAGTTTGTATCACGTCTTGTTTGTAAGCATCCCAGTTGATCCTTTCTTGAAGATTTCTTTGAAGCGTCTCTCTTGACGGGTAAGAACGCACCTTAAATGAGACAAAGTAAAAAAGCGTACAGGGTAATTTAGTATTATAAACTAAGTTGATAATGCCAATTTGCCCCTGTAAAGAGTTTCAAAGCTGACGTTTCGAGCGTTAGCCCTTCGTCATTCGCTCAGACGAAGGGATAACGCTCAAAACGTCAGCTAAAACTCTCTACGATGGCCAATTTACGTTATCAACTCAGTTGAAAATACCAAGTTATCTTCTTATACTCTCCCACCGACGCAACACCACGATTTCTTTAGAAATTTACTCCCTTCTTAAAACTGAAGTTTACGAAGTAAGTGATAGTCCTTTAATGCTTAAGATATTAGATCTGTTCATTTCATAGTCAGAACTGCAGAATTAACACCAATGACAACCAATGTTTCGGAATTTCTATCTTAGAACAAAACTTGTCTTCAAAGGCATTTTTGATCTCAGAGTCGAAAGGTGATGCGGGATAATCTCATACCCAGACCCTCCATGGCTAAACACTCCAGTTAAATAACACGGTAGGATGTGGGTACGAGATTAGATCCAGGATTACACCAATTTTGCCGAAATGTGCTCTGTGCTTGGTTTAGAAAACCTCCGCCACCATTTCAGTCCCAGTCTTTGGTGCCTCTTCGGCTTTAAACCTTTTCATTCCCAACATCCTATCGCAGCTTATTCTTTCCTCTAGCTGCTACACATTTCCTTGTAATTCAGTTTTGAGAATTTGGTGTTAGATCACGACATCGACTTCTACTTGATAAGTTTGAAAATTCTCATTAACTGTATGCTGGATAACATATAAATATTACAGGGAGAATTTACATGTCAATCACTTCTGGGAGTTAAAGGATTAAGGCAGGTTATACAATCTTACAGTGAGCTCAGTTTTAATGGCCTCAGAGTCTTAAACCTTTAGTTTGAAAGGTCACGTTTGCTGTGGATTTTTTATTTTGAGACTCGACCGAGGCACGTAAGATACTCCACCATTTAAGGTTCCAATGGGAGTGATAATTAGATAGACGACGTTTGAAGATAAAGGTAAAATAGTAGTCTATAATTACATTATGTCGGATCCATTTTTTGGTTAGCTCGCTTGCTTGGCTTATGAAGAACTTCTTAGAAATCATAACACATTCAGCTCCTCGACTGACCTGAAATCAGAGACAGAAAGTATTGTCTACAATTTTCTGTTTGAGTTCGCATAATGAAAACGAAGAAGTGCTTTTAATGTTGCATTCCGGTATCAAACCCTGGGCTTGAAAAGCTTGTTAGGGGGCATATCGGTGAGGTAGGCGAGGAATTATAATTGCCATGCATTGGAAAAAAAGGAGTTAAGTGGAGGAATATAATCATGATACTCATCATTTATTAATCAGTCATAGTGGGCGGTCAGTCGTTGTGGCAAGTCTTACTGATAAGTGGATTGTTTCCAAAACAGGTCGCTCCGGCTCATTTCTTCATTTCCTTGCCATCACCGTGTCATTACTCTGAATAGTTCGAATTTTGTGACTCGCCTCGCGGGCGAAGTTTAGTTGCGGAAACGAAAATTTTGATTAGAAATCTCAGCAAAGTATATCATCAACAAGCGACTAATTCTATTCCTCTCTCAGCCTTTGAGAATTAAGAAATCTAAGACAGAGGTGGAGGAAGGATCTACCAGAATGTTTGTTTGTTAATATTCACCCATAGATTGGCCAATAATTACAAACTATGTCATAGCTACTCACAAGGCTGACACTGGCTTGTTGAAGGAGTTGAGAGTCTTCATCAAAATTAGGAAGCGTTGATAAACCCTTGAAACAGGAACACGAACAAACACAAATACGTTTTAGAGGAATAAGAGGGCATATGAGTAAAGGAAGGGATCCATCAGTCAGCAGTTTGGAAACGACAATACTCACGAAAACACTCCTAGGATGAAGAAGACCCAACTGCACAAAGGCTGTTTGTTTTCTAAGTTGACTGTTGTTGGTGGACGACACTTCAGTGACGGGGAACTGTTGATATAAAAGAAGCAAAGCGAAAATGTCATAAACAAGATGAGAGACATTTCAAAAAACGCGCGCCTGTATGGAGTCATGGAGTCTTTTTCCTACCACAGGTGGAAGGGATTTTGTGCGACGTCCTTCCACATGATATCTTGAGAAAGCTGGTGATAAGAAAAAAAACAAATTACTACACTAAAAATCAATTTTTCTTTAAGCTTGTCATCTCTCTCACATCACTGCTTTAGACTCTTGCTTGGTGTGCGACTGTGACGTGACTTAAAACAAAACAAAACTCAAGCAGAAGTTATATCTGGCTGATCGCACTAAAATCTTTTTCAAGCGGACACCATACAAAGCCGTGTACTATCATGCCGCTCTAAAATGAGATATAGTCATGAACGGGTTCAAGAGGAGATTGAGCACGTGCACTGAAGTAGCAAGGCTCAGATGCAGGGAATAGGGAAACCTGAAGAGAGCGAGCGATCAGCCTAAAGACAGAAGAAGAGCAGCCTGGAGACAGGGAGGAAGCATCTTAGGGAGAAAAAGGGAGCAGCTTAAGGAATAAAGAGCAAGCAGCAGCGGGGAAAGAAAAATCAGTCTGGAGACGGAGAGAGGAAGCCTAAAGACATAGAAAGAGAAGTCGAGACAAATAGGAGACAGAGGGAGGATCCTGGAGATAGGCAGCACCATCTCCCCCCCTCCCAAGGGGAAAGAACAAGCAGTCTGGAGACAGAGGGGGGGACCCTGGAGATAGAGTGATAGAGTGGAGGAAGCGCTATCTTCCCCTCCTAAGAAGAGAAGGGAACAATGATGATGACTGTAAGAGGTAGCATGGAATTTTGCCTCATATCTCTCACCGTTCCACCCACCTAATTTGTCCATGTTCTTTGGCATTCTTCTTAATCTGGAAGCGGAGTAATTAGTTTTCCTGTGACGTTCCACCGTTAAATGCGCCAATTTTTCTGCTGCGGTTATGTCTTCGCTATATCGATAATGCTTTTTTCCACACAACTTTGGTTTGGATATTTCAAGTCTCAAAAGAATCTGGCAAACTCCCTAAAAAAAAAAAAAACAAATAGTGATCCTAGCTAACCAACCTTCATTGTCGGCGGGGGAACGTTTTGCAACCTATTGGGGCTCGTCGTACATCAAACCAAACGTACATGCCTACATACATTTACCAAAATGTCGTTCAAGTAGTTCTTTACATCTCCCCCCCGTGGGGCTTCGCTGCATAAGCTCCAGGAATTTGTAAGAGGATATCGATGACGCTAGCAGTCGACCATCGAATATCAAGAGTAGAAAACCTTAAGCGGTAAATTAGCCGATGGCGTAGTTGGGGTAAAATGTCCTCGATATCTTCTGTCAGTGACGCATCATCATGATTGTGAATGTAGGGTTAATGAGGGTATACGACGTTCACCCGATTTAAATTTCCCGTCTGGAGGAAAATAATTGCGGCGGTGTAAAATTTTGCAGATCAGTCATAACATGTTCCCCCCACCTCCCCCCCCCACGATGACTCACCGAGACAATGACGTATAGCCAGTCAGATTTGTTACTGTCTTTTACAATCACTGTTCCTCTTCTTTTCATGAAACAAAAAACGTCGGTAAGTTGACAATATAGGAAAAATTACAAGACGCACAAACGAAAAAAATCAAAGTTACAGAGAAGAATGGGATTAAGAATTCTATTAGTCAGAAAGGAGTGAAAGAAAATCGTTGAACCGAAGCTTAAATGCAGCATAAAAAAATGAAAAGATAGTCGATGTTTCAGTCACAGAAACGGCCAGTTTCATCGATCAGTTGACAAAGCGAGCTCTCCACCAAACTGTCACTGATTTATCAAAGAAGCTGGCAAGAAAGCAGATAGAAAGTGCACCAAGTAGTCAGTCGGTTAGTCAGTCGGCCCCTCCGTCCGTCCGCTGATCCGTCAGTCCATCGGTCGGTCTGACGGTTTATTAGTCAGTGAGTCAGCGCGTGCATGGATAAGTCAATTGGCTAGTTGATCTTGTCCAGTCGGTAAGTCAGATCAGTTACTCAAATGGTCATCAAGTCGCTTAGTTAGTCAGTCAGGGATAAACCGGATAGTCCGTCGGTTCGTAGTCTGCCAAACCAGTCCGTACGTTAGTTTAATCATTCAAGCATTCAGTCTCTTAGTGAGGCCAGCCAATCAGTAATTTGGGACGTCATTCAGTGATTCAGAGAGCAAGTAAGTGGGTGACTGACTGAGTGAGTGACTCGCTCAGGCAGTCATTCGGTCAGCCAGCCAATCAGGGAGCTGGCGTGTGTTCAGTTATTGTAATGCATATATGTGAACAAAAATTAAGGAGCTATCCTTAGAGACTGTTTCACAAGTAACCACTGTACACAGTTTGCGTAGCATACCTGAAGTAATGAAAAAGGCAGTTTTCCGGGTGTGCAAGTAGTAGATCAACCGGCCAGTCGGCTAGAAAGTCTAGATTTCTGAAAAGTCAACATGAAAAGATTGAAATCTGTAGATATTTTCAGAACTGCACGTTTAACAAGTGGTATACTATGGATTTTACGCCAAAATGAACGACGTGAACAAAAAGTTCCATTTTTTGGATGATTGGTGCCCAGTGTGAATATGAGGGGCCTCTCCAAGCGCTTTTATTACGATTTCCCGCCATATGGCATTGTTCCACTCGCGAAGGCATCTAAGGAAGGAAAAGAGTTGAGACAGCAAGTCCCAGGAAAAGGTTTCTACTAGTGAATTCAAGAGGGGGGAGGGGAATCATTTCGAAAAAGGATGCAAAAGAGCGAAAGAGAACTCCTGGGACGAAAATGGAAAAAGCAAACCAATCGAGGGAAATGAGAAATGATGTTCTACATGAAAAAGATTTGCCTACCTGCAAAATTTGAGATGCGCAGGCTCTTCTCCTGATTTGGTCTGACCCATAAAAATTCTCTTATAATCCTACAAGAAACAACGAAAACCGACTTTCTTTTTCCTACCATTGATCTTTGTTAACTAAAATAAGGTTTTTTTTCTGTGTAACTGTGATCTTGTAATAAGATTCTACCTCCTTTCCTATTACTAAGAGCTGAACAGGATCGTTGCTGACCACAGATGCTGTCCTGCGGACGTTGTTCATAATGGCAGTCTCCTAAAAAAAATTGAAATGATCTTGAAATATTTAATGTTGGTGTTCATGAAAGGAAGGGTGGGTAGAATTCTTAGTATTTAGGTAACAAGAGTGATAATGCGGCACTGATTGGAGGGGACTCCAGAAAGGTCAGTGCTAGGAAACTATCTGATGAGCCTCCTGTAATGATACCAACACTTTTTTCACCAACTCTAGCTTCTCTTCCTCCTGGCAACAGGGAAGTACTTTGGCAGATGGCAACTGTTTCAGTTCGCAGTGCAGTAACGCGTTGTTTTAAAATGCAGTGAAGTTGCTGTTTCTTGATCGCGACTTGCGGTCATTACATAGCCACAGCGAGTTTTCTAGAATAGAAGGCCATAGCAAGCTTGCAAACATTTGTTAATCGGAAAATGTTACATGCCCGCCGACGCATCACAAAAATTGCTCTCAAGAAATCAATAGTTCACTTTGGTGATGAAAAAAGTAAGCCTCAGTATGAGTACTGAGTGGTGGTTGGTGGGTCACCAAAGTTTGTAAATTTTTTTTTAACAAGATAGTGGCTCTTAGCACAGTTGTCACTTCTCCACACCTCACCATATGACAGCGGATACGTGGATGATAAGACAGTTTGCTTAATAACGTTTGATGCACATGCAGTCGTATTTTTTGAAACGGGGGTGTTAACCAAACAATGGCTGGTTTTGGTTCAGATGAAAACCTGTTGACGATTAGATAAACTGAATTTTCTACTCACTCCAAAACTGGATCCTCTCTTCAGTGTTGCCAAAGACGTAAATGGCGAGTCCTTTGTTGGATCATTTTCGGATAGCACAGTTACTACATTGTGATAAGGAAATTAAAAAACAGTTATTAATGAGCAGAATCTCACAACAGGACAACAAATGATTCGAGTTTGGGTAAATCGCATCTGAAGCAAGAGGAGATGATTGTCGAGAGTCAAACACCCAAGGGAGCAAAAGTGCAAAGCCTTGAAGAACACTCTTTATCTTGTCTTGTGTATCTCTTCTTTACCGATGATTTCACATTTCCTCTCTGACGACCTCTTCTTGTGTTTCCGGAATAAGCTTCACTCCGGCTAGCAGTACCGTCCCCCACTCAGTCGATCACTAAGTAAATATTACTCACGTATCTTCTCCTCAACGCATGCGATTTCAACTCATATTGATTACTCAACGAGCTCGAGGAGCTACCATCAAAGCTTTATGTTTTAAGGAACCTGCTAGTGAAATATTCCTTAGCCGTTATGGCCAATAAAGCAACGCATAAATTATCTTTATCGAGGTTGTAAAATGAGAATAGGTATGAGATTTGGTAAGATGCATGGAGGCAGTCTGAGGAGTGTGAAATGAAACCTGCGAGAGGTTAACCTTCAGAATGAGCTGTGGGTGTACTGACTTTGTAGAGCGTTACGAGGATTTAACATCAGTTACTTACCCGTTCCATTGATGATGAAATAAAAGTTTTCGGCCACGTGATCTTGTTTTATGATTACTTTATTCGGGGGAAGGCTTGAAAGAAAGCAAAAAAACAAACCAAATTTAAAAGGATTGGTTTTTAACGAAAGAAGTCGATCACGGCTCTGAGGAACAAAAAAGCCAACAAATAATTTAACCATCACAGAAATTCCTTATTGATTTAACGCCAAGTTTCGAAAAACTTCCAAAGCGTGCTACAGAAATTGCGACAAAATGCCTTGTTTATTCCGCGACAAAGGCTTCAAGTTGTTCACGGTATGTAACCTCAAGTAACATGACCTTTTAACGAATCAAAACGAGGGAACCACGACATTTTTAAAGAAGAAAAAAAACGATTATAAGTTTTTTTTTATACCTTTGTAACCAGGCAACTTTGCACACATCTTGTTGCATATGGAGAGGGAGCTCAGAGAAAGATTCCAAGGTTTGAAGAGCGTACAACACCTGTTGGAACAAACCGAGATGACATGAACAAACGTCTTAAGGAAAGAAGTGTGACCTACTACGAGATCATTTTTACTTATTTTGTTAAATTTGCGACTTTAAAGCGCCTTACAAGCGATAACATGTTTTCGACATTCAGTAGGAGCCCACTGATTCGGTGTAAAGTTTATCAGTTGAAGCATACACAAGTTACCCTGCAGTTCTCTCTTAAGGGACCCCATTGTTTTTTCGGCGGGTGAGTACAATAGTATTCTTGAGACAGACATTTTCCCCTGCATGTGTCGTTGTCTATCCAAACAATTGAATTCTTTTCAATGTTTTTTACATCCCCTTCAAATAGGTCGTGTTCCCCTAAGCCTACTTCTCGAATAACAGCGATTCAATTCAACTTTCAGCAATGTAAAGGTAACTCACAGTTTGAAGTTGGTCGCTTGTGCGCACATCTGGCCAGGTGGTTAACAACTGTTTGACTTCCTTGCTAATCTTTACCTGTCAATAAAACCAGAAAAAACTTGAAAATGTAAACTTGCAAATGTGGACACCGGCTTTTGACCATCGGCTGATGTTTTAATGACAGCGATTTTCTAATGCATTGCCTACATTTATTACCTGTCGATTCTTAATTAATAGTGTTTGACTAAAGAGGAAGCGTGAGATTGGCCTCTTAAATAGCTGGCATTCTTTCCAAACCATCAAAAGCGAATTTTCATTTACAGAACGCCTTGGGGACATAGAAAAAGCGTTCCCTGAATAGAGGTGTCCCTTTTCAATGATATAGATACAAAATCGTTTTTAAACACTTTTTTTGATTTGGGGTTAAACAATTTGAGTCCCTTGAAGGGTGGTGTCATCTGTAGAGGGAGTCCGACATGAAACATTAATCTTTGCTTATTTAAACTAAATGATTTAAAGCGCATTTAGTGTGTACCTCTTTATTGGCCTTGAATTGTTTTGGGTCAAACACAAGAGCAGAAGTAGAGAAACCAGGAATGTTCTGTTTATTGTCACCCTTTAAGTGTTTTTCTCTTGTTGTCATGTAGCCTTCCATGATCTCCAGTAACGACTTAGAAATTCCATCCTCGCGGAAAATGGCTTTGGGGTCACTGAATAAAAAAGGCGCATGAATCCATTTTAATCTGTATACTATACCTTCAGATATTCAGCTATGCTCAACGAAAGACTGAGAGGAGACTGATAATATAGCTTGAAAAACGGGCATCATTTGTTATTGTTGTCAATCGATGTCAAGTTGATTGAGGGGCGAGAACGGGGAGAGAACGATGCGTTCTCCAAAAGAGCGTGAAGATTGGGCGACGCCTGGGTGAAGGAGGGCAAAAAAAGGAGAAAATTGCTCCTTGTGTCGTGCGTCATTCGCGTTTCCGTGCTTGCCTGGCGTTGCTCTCACTCGATTATTAGATGGAAAAATAATGCGCTTGTTAATAAAAGCTAATGATGTTATTAAGCGCTTTTAACAATGAGATCGCGCAAGTAGTAACCGTGTTATTTCGGATTTAAGATCAGCGTTCGGAAAATACACAAAATCTCCTCAGCGCCGATATTTCATAGCGCTCAGTTTTGTTTTAGATTTACTTGGTACATTCATCACATGTCACGCCTCGAGATTGACTCTCCTAAAGAAAATAAATGGCAACCCACCTTTTAAGAGCATTTCCAAGTCTAATCACAATCAGCACTATTCTTGCTAATTTTTTGAAACTCTGCAGGGGCTGTGGAAATAAAGCAAACTATTTAACTAATTGAATAAAGACTAAATATACATACAGATCAGAGATTATTTCGTGAGCACATCTGCCAGAAAAAGTGTAGTAATACGGTAGTATTTGCCAGATACAAACTTATCTGTGTCAGTGCTGAAAGAAGTACTGTAAGTTTACCATTTAAATCCTGGACATTAAGGGCCGGTTATTTTTAAGAGGTCTAACCGAAACCGCGGCGTTACGCAAGCAGTGTGCCCTATGTATTCCCCTTAAGAGGGTTTTTTTCACTAAATAAATTTCCTTTCACTACTATCCTTTGGCTCGCTTGACACTGTTTACAAAAATGAATGTTCAGATATAAGATTCGGCTAAATTCAAAATAGTTTAGAACGCCGTTTTGTTAGACAACGGCTAAACTTTGATGATAAATAATCGGCCCCATGCAAATAAAAGGCCTACGTCATGTAGCATTTGATAACCAATAAACTCGTATTGCTCGGCATAACGAGCCCGGATGGGCTCCACGCCGCTGCAGCTGGGACACCAAAATTAGGAGAATGAAGAAAACTGAGGTAATCTTCATACCCTACTTGCATGCTTTATTTTTAAGAGCGCTTCAGGCCCGGAGCGCTCTCTATTTGTTCAAAATTCCCAGCTTATTCGGTGGGTAATATCCTGAGACAGTCTGACCGTAGTAACCGGAAAGTCACCGCGCCATTTGATTCCACTTCGGTCGCACCATGTTTTACATTGAATTATAGTCACTCAACTGCGGTTTACCGTTTCAAACTTTAAGACCCAAGCGCTTTTAAAATGAATCCACACTGTGCTTAACGTTCATGCTTTTCCTGTTCTATTATTCTTGATTCATTTGAAAGGAAATACTCTTCGGCAATGCAAAGCGCTTATAAAATTTCGGCGCGATCATCACCAACAACCTCAGAGTTCATTTCCCCTCATTTTACATCGAGACTGACAGTTAGTTCGGCTTCAAAATCAAGGGGCATGTACATACGCTATACGTTATTTTCAGCACCTTAGAAAGATATCATAATTTCAATATTTTAAATCGAAGTATACTTGGGAAATGAGAGACCGACAATACGAGAAAGGAAAGGAAGGACATTAAAATAAACACAACGTATAAACCTGAGTTGAGGTAAATCTTTACTGCAATCGTTAAGTTTTGACATGTGCCACGGCTTTCTGTTACCCCGGCCTAAATATATTGTTGCGAACTAATCGTATCGTTCGAGACAAACTCTTTTTACGTCTGAAGAAGGAAGCAGTTACGTTAACCACTTACGAGCTTGAGAAATCCTTTAACCTAAAAATTTAAACAATTATTGCCTTGACAATGATAAACTCAATTTCCTGATAACTTGCAAGTGGCATACTGATACACCCAGCCGTTCTCCTAGCCGTTGTATTAGACATGAGCCATAACAATTGATTTTAGGACAAGGAAAAAGCTTATTAAATGAATACGACGGAATAAAATTGTTTAGAACCTTATCTTTGCGGTTATAGCCTGTTTGATGAATACTTACCTCGAAATGAAAGGTGGACGCATTCGATCTGCTCAGGCCCATTTTCCTCCATCGTTTGATGCACAAACGGACGTTTTCGTTTTTCGATCCAAGCAACTGACCGCCTTCATCGCTTACCGCTGCTGTGCTTGGTGTCGAAGTTCGTGTTAAATCTGGGGCTGACGTTTCTTTTATCGTAGGAAGGCTATCGTGTCTATGACTTGATCGAGAATGTAATCGCGATTTAGTGTTTTTAGCGCGTTCACGCTCGGTTACTGAACACTCGACGTCTGTAACGTTGATGACGTTCTTAACTGCACTTAATTCTCGCCAGTTCGGATTTGTATCTCGCTTTGAAAACAAATACGGTCTCTTTTCAAACGATGGAAGCATTGACGTCGTTGAAAGGAAAGGATAAACCCTTGAAAAGTCTCAAAACAGGGGGAATATGACTAAGAGGCAAGTACATCAACTGTATCACATGTCGCCTTGGATATAATTTTGAGCTGACACGCCAGAGAAATCCGAGTAGAGAGGTTAAATACCTTTGACCTTTCAATAAAAACCCTTCTCGATTTTTGAGTGTTTTCGTGATAACAATAATTTGTTTCAAATCTAAATAAAACAAACAATTACCGAGAACAACCTTTTCTTTAATTTGAATTAGAAACTGCATTTCTTTTGGCTTGTTAATTGCAACAAAGCGTGATATCAGTAATGTCGTGACGAACGATCGTTGCGTGCGCTCAAATCCTGGCAGAACAATAAACAAAGGCAGGAACATAATCTATTGGCTTGTGGCATTCATCAAACTAGATTTAACTAAAATCATAACGTCAAGAAACAAGGTTTTAAGGAATTAGTTTCGCACCGAAATCTGGATTTCGCTCTCTGTACCTAAATACGAGGGTGTGTTTTGATCTAATTTCAGGCTTCCGGATTTTTCAAGTGTTCATTCCGGTATAAAAATTAATCCATCTGTTTTTAATATATCGTGGCAATCTTTGTTCCCAGGTATGGCGTAACATACCGTTCAAAATTCAGTCAGGGTATTTTCCCAATCGAAAAATTAATTTTCGCGTCGGAAATCAATTAACACCCAGGTTCTCTCTACTATCCGCGCGTTGGTGTGACGATCAACGTTTGGGAACAAAAATAAGGCAACTGAAGGCAAATCGGCACACTCAACCTGTTTACAACCTGGACCAGAAATACGCCTGCGCGGACGTACAATTGGTTGACAAAACCCACCTCGAGTGATACACGGGTACAGTTAGGAAAACTCTGTGGATTGATTTTAGAAACTAAGTTTAACCGAGGTGTTAACTTCCTCCTAGAGCACAGAGGAAATCCATACCCAATTATGCTCAGGATTAAAAACCTTTCACATGATTCGGCTTCTCGGAGTGCGTTATGTAAGTGCAATGCAAAAGAATTAGCTCTTAGCTGTTAACAGTGATCGAAAATTAAAATTCTACTCTCAGCACATGATCCGGCAAACAGGTGAGAAGTAGACACGAAGTCAATATGTGGATGATGTCACCTTGATACAACATCAAATTGTCTCTGGAATTAAAGAAAGGTTTAAAAGTTCGTTTAGGCTCCTTTTCCGCTTCTTTTTGTAGTCCAGTCCTTGTATGGGTCTTGTACTTCCCTTGAAGGTAGATGAGCGCACTTTTCCTGGTCTTATTGATGAACTGACAAATTTAGATACCTTTTCAAAAAATCCTGACGCTTTACAAACCTCGATAACCTGTTGTAACTCACCCTTAATAGCTTGATCTCTCTTGAGCTCAAAGCTCTACTCCGACGTCTCACTCTTAACAGCACCAAGGCAGGCTGTACCAGACCCTTCGCAAATACACTATTCGACCGTCGGCGTTGACCTACGGATCCTCGGCGGTCAGACGTCCGCTGTGGCTGCATCTCAATAACAGAGACCGGTGAAGACCGACTCTCTTTAAGAACCGGGGGATGTGATTGCGAGGTGGTGTTGGTGGAAAATCGTGGCCGCGAGAGCCGGATGTCTTGAACGCCTGAAAAGCTGGCTCGTCTGGTCCTAAATCGAGACGGTTCCAGCGAATTACAACTGGATGTCAGCGTAATATCTGGGACACTCAGCATCATACTTTGGTCTTTCACTTGCCTCTCTGTACCAGATGATTCTTGGCGTTGGTCATTGCGCTTGTAACCTTCGCTTAGGAGAAACTGAAACACTCCAATTTCGGTTTCTTTCAAGGTGTTTTCGGGCCATATCATTCAAGCTGACTTTAAATTATTCTTCAAGCTATCTGACTAAGCGAACATCGCACGATCCACTATCAATGTCAGTCGAGGTGCTAACATCTTGCTAACGGAGCAACTGAGATAAAGTGCAAGACAATGCCTTTTTTACTGTAGAATAACCACGATTGTGATCTAGATTGTAAATTAAGAAATAAACGTTTTGACGAGAAAAACATCAATTGTTTAAGCAACTGCGAAGTATCGATCACATCTTATTCTCCGGAAACATTACACGCGATGCACAGTAAAAGATTTACCATTTGCACCTTTGACGTCACCTTGAACGGACCAAGGTCAGGATTACACAGGGGAGATAAAAGACAACTTAATATTGTGATTGTTTGTTGAGCAAAAGTACATTCAACTCGGAGCGAAACACATTTAACAAAATATTTTTCTGATCTGCTCCAATCGCTCTGACGAAGGGCTAACGCTGGAAACGTCAGCTTTTAAACTCTTTTCGGAGGCCAATTTACGTTAACAACTCACTTGATAATATTAAATTACCTGTTATACTCTCCCCCCGACGTAGCACCACAGTTTCTTTAGAAACTTACTCCCTTTAACAAAATATTGGCATGGTAACAGAGAAAACAACTTAAGAAATACCTGTGTGGGAAATGTTTCCATAGAACCTTATACTATTCCAAAACTAAGCTCAAGTCTCAAAAGCAATCCGTGGTTTTCGTTTAGCAAACAACAGTATGCATATGAAGTTTAGGGTTATGCGGAAATCTTGCCATTGAGTGAACTGTAAAGTAAAGATGTTTCTAGATGGGAGGATTGAAAGCACATCATGAAAAGACTATGACTAGGGCTCGAAATATGATTAGCTAATATCCATTTGAGTTTCGAGACATTTAAAGATTATGCTATGCATTACCCTGGAGCCCTACGCCACGATCCAACTCGATGTGAAAATCCTGATTCAGTTCTCTGAAGAATGGAGACGAGGAATATGTTTTCCTCGAGAAGTTACAAAAGGGTATAATGTGTGAGTGAAGAGGCGCATTTGCAAATAAATTCAACGAAAAGGACGAATCATTTCTTGGAACCACAGATCATTTATTATGTTTTAAGGACTTGTTTTGAGATTAAGTGCTGAATTTATTGGTGCTAGAAGTTTGTTAACGGTGTAATAATCTTGCCTTTTTTCAGTTTTGTGGTCGTTACAATTTAGTAAGAATGAAAAAGAAACCCAGCCGGATTTTTTGTTATCGTGGTATGCCACAGACATCCCACGGAACAATTCCGACAAACTGCGTCAGCCTATGGCTTTTCTAAGTATGTTGGTATAAAGGACTAAAAGTTCAATTGTGAACTGAAAATTATAATGTAAATTGACCTCACTTTTTAAGTAGTTTAACCAGATCAAACTGACCCTTCCTTTCGGTTTCTGGTAGAAATAGTAGAATTGCAAACTCACTATCGCCCTCGGCTATTACGAGGTTGGCTACACATTTAACAAAAGAGGTCGCTCTATTTTGAAACGCAAAGCGATTCGTGTCGTTAAGACTACAATACTTAGTTACTGTTTCACGTTTTGCTTTTGCGCAGCAAAAAGAAAAAAAAATCCAAAGTAAATTCGAGTTCACAATTGTAATTCACCGCCCGCCGCCAAACATGTTCCCAAATGGCATTCCGCCAGGAAAGCCACCACCAAAACCCCCGCCAGGAAACCCACCTCCAAACCCACCTCCAAAACCACCTCCAAAACCGCCTCCAAAACCACCCCCGGGAAAACCACCTCCAGGAAAACCACCCCCGGGAAACCCGCTAGTATCAGGTGGCGGGCCAGATCCCGCGGGACCAAACTTCTCGGCGAGTTTGTCGACGATCATCTGGACTTTGGGAAGATGTTGGTAATTTGAGAGATTTGCTGGATTTTGGCTCACATCTTGGAAGGCGGCCATCACTTCAGGATCCTGAAAATCAAAAAGAGAGTCTCTAGTTGAGCCAGAATGAGGGAATTCTTGACCATTCAAAGAGCGTGGTGAAGTAAGAAAACACACAATCCAGGATCACTTTCGATACTCGATTCAAAATTGAGGTTGTGACACAATTTACGACACGGACAACATTTAGTACCAACCTGGAAAGCTTCTAACAACTCTGGATCACTCAGAAGCTCGTTCAAGTTTGGTGTATCGGTCCCTGAAAATTTCAAAAATACAACCGGAGTATTAGAGCATTACATGAATTCACTCAAGTGGGTTATTGAGCTTCCATGATCCACACTTCACATCAGTATTTGTCAAAGAACTCGTGGTTGGAACCTGGAACAATGGCATGAAGGAAATTAAGGAATTACGAGTACTGTTTCCTCCCCACTCCCTATTCCCCCCCCCCACCCCACCCCCCCTCAACAACTCTAACGAATCTGACAGTATAAAACTTTGGGGTAGTAACGATTTCTGAGTTTCTGAGTCTCATTAGTTAATCACATTTCCCGGGATGATTATCAAAAAGCACGATGGCCTTGTTCTTCTGACTCTTAACTCTTTAACTCCTAGGATAAGATTGTTAATTCTCCCCTCTAGCTGCTACACATTTCCTTGTAAATAAGTTACAAGAATTTGGTGTTAGATTAAGATAGCAACTTCAACCTGATGAGTTTGAGTATTCTCATTACCTGTTTGCTGGATAAGATATGGATATCATAAGGAGAATCTACATGTTAATCACTTATGGAAGATAAAGGGTTAATATGGAGTCCAGTCTCCTTGATATTTGCAACTATAAATTTGCCCAATATATACAGTTCCACTACACAGACACAACACTTTATGTCTAGGTGGTTAGGGCGCTGGACTTGTTATCAGGTTCAAGTCCTCCACCTGCCACTCACTGGATTTGTTCTCGGTCGCCCTGAGTTTAACTCCTTGGCTGCGCGGTGTAAATATCCAACTGATCTGACTCCTGCCAGTTGGGATTTTTGAGCACTTAATGTAACATCGACTCTGAAAAGCCCCGTGGGGACGAACCAATAAAATATGTATGTATACATTGCTATTCAACAGTAAAAAGGATGTCTTCTGATAGAATTGTCAGAATAAATACCTCCAGGGGCTGCTCCTCCTGGCTCAGGATGAGGGAATGCGTCTTCCCCAAGGTCTGCCCCTAGGTCAGGAGGTGGAAAGCCACCACGGAATGTTGTGTGCTCCTGTGACCTCTGTTGCCTCTGTTGCCTCTGTTGCCTCTTTTGTCTTTCCTCTTCTTCCTGTTAAGGTAAGAGGAAGTATAGGAAAGAGCATGAGCGAAAACTCGCGTAAGAAGCTATGCTCTTGATAACAGGAAATTGCAATGAATAAAGAGCAGTTGGTGACCTTCATAGATTTTAAACAAACTCAAAAAAACTTGAAGAAATTTAGAATGACACTTTTGGATAATCTGAGTGTGCTTGTTTTGGGTTCTGGTTCAGGTAAAAGCCATTTTTGTTATATCTGAGATCATTCTATGATTAATTAGTTGGTGATGATATTGCCCCTTCCTACCCCTTATGGGGACAAGATCTGGTTTAGCTATAGAATAGATTTCATTTACACTCTCTTGCAACTTTTCTTGTAAGAGAAGAGTTGTTATTTAAGGTTTAAGCCAAAACAACTGACAGCAATCTCAAATACCTTTCAACACTTGGTTCAAAATTGCTCTAAAAACTACAAAGACTGGCCCTATGGAGACAACTTACCTTCCTAGCTTTTTCTTGAGCTTCTTTCATCTTTTTCCTGATGAGAGGAATGTTAAAAACAAAGTGTAGATCAATACGTGATAGCCAAATTACAGCTGTACAAATCAATGACAAAACAGAAAAGATAACTGCACATAGGGAGAAAGACACATGAGCATGCATAGATATGGAATTCCTCTTTGCGTTGAACATAAGAACAACAACTCTGTTTATTGTAAAGACACCAAAAGCCTTTTCTGACAAGGAAAGTTAACAAGTGACCTTGGATTGAGAATAGTGAATGCTTTGTCATTCATTCATCAACCTAACAACCTGACTGGTAATATCAATCACAAGTAAAAAATTGTTGTAGTTTTACACATGTTCAGTTGCACTTTCTCTCAGGGCTGGAACTCTTTGCAAAACACAAAAGTTTATATAATAAAAGTCTTTATCCTATTACATGTCTGCTTTCTTCTTCTCTTCTTTTTTCTTCTCTTCTTTCTTCCTCTCTTCTTTCTCCAGACGTTTCCGTTCCTGTTTTCTCTGATGCTCTAGTAGAAGTTGTGCCTATGTAAATCACAATGACAAAATGCTTAATCAAATCTATAAACAGTTAAGATCAAACTAATGATCATTAAAATAAGTAAAATAGCCAGCCTACAATATTGAGAGTTAACATAAGCCAATCTATCCAATTAACATTATGCACCAATCAATTTGAAGCTTCGATATTTCCCCCCCCCCCCCAAAATTCTTCGAAAATTGAATGAAGAAAGTGAGTAATAACCACTACATACAGAAAAAAGTTGTTTTTGGTTTGCTTTTTTAACATGTCGATATTAAACAGAGAAAACAACTTAGGTATTACATGCACACAAGAAAAAAATAATTCAAATCAATCAGTAATGTAAATTTATACACTTGTACTAACAATAACTTTGTAATGAAAGACAGTCAACAAATGGACAGAATTTTTTTCTCCTATAAACTGAGAGATTTGTTAAAATTCTCAAGAGCAATATTATTGTTAATTGCCCATAATTGTTAATTGCCCATAATCTTTCTATCTCTAAATTATTTTAAATAAAAAATGAATTAGAAATATAAAAAAAATCAGTACCTTTGGTTTTACTTCCCTCAGCCACTCATCAGTTTGTTCGTCAAAATCCAGTTTGCATGCCATGGCAAGATCCTTGGCTGCCTCTGCCCAATGACCCAGGAGTCTTGACAACAATACATTGAATATATTTTGTTAGGTTTGAAAGACATTGGGATTTTGGATTAACTGACAACCCAAAAGTCTGAGACAAACAGCTGTCCTGATTTGGATGGTTTTGAAAAATGAGTATCTTGAAAAAGGAATTTTCTTTGGTGGTACCACAAGGTTGCTACTTAAACAGTACAGCCAGTGGTTGCAGTTTTCCCTCTGACCAATAATTTCAGAATGGAAGAAAACAGACCTGTAAGTATGATGCTTTCTCGACATGTAAAATTGTGCTCACCAACAAGTAATGTTCAGGCATAATTTTTTTATCAGTTAGTCAGATTAAATAATCACTGATCCAATAAAGGTGTAACATTTCATAGAATTTAGACAAGAACTATAAGAAAAGAATAGAACAATTTGATACCAACCTGTGTGCTCGTCCTCTCCATTTGTACGGTTGGGCAGAGTCAGGGTTGATCTTTACAGCCTCGTCACAGTCCCTAATGGCTGCATTTGGTTTCTTCATGCGAATAAAACAACTGGAAATAATTCCATTAAAAGGAATCAATTGCAAAAAATTATTTCCCATTCTCATTTTCATATGATGCGATGGCTCAAGAACTAATTAACTGTTGAAAACTTAGTCATAAATAATTTATTATAAATTTATACCTTGCTCGTTTAGCATACATGCTTGCAGATGGATTCTTAACAATAGCTTCAGTAAAAAGCTTGAGTGCCTCATCCAAGTTTCCTGTAAGGGAAGGAAACATTTTGATCAGTGTAAAAAAAAAAAGAAAAACAGGCCAAGTCAGCTTACAAGCCAGCATTTTACTCCTGGGAGGAGAGGGACACTGAGAACAACAACACAAGTTGTCCAATTGGAGACTCATGCCACAAATTCAGTTGTGAAATGTTTTTTACTAGCTGCTAAGAAAGCAGACAAACCTTCATTCATTGCTGCAATAGCTTCCATTCTCTTTGTGGAGGATTCCTCCCTCATTTCATCTGTAACCTTAGAAATCAACCCATCTTATTAGTTCAATAACTAAGACAAAGGGGCAATTTTTTTGGAGTGTTCAAATGTTTCACTTTGCTCAGTGATCAGATCAGAAAATTAAATATTAAGTAAGCCTTTTTCTGAACCACTCAGATTAAAATCTAAAACCAATCACAATTTTGTTACTCATGTTTCCCTAAATTTCAGGCAGTTTGCTTGTTTTTATTTTCAGTTCTCATTAGTACCTTGTTAAATTATTTCTTTCATTCTGTTTGGCTGTTGTGATTACTGTGCTCTTGATTTAAGACACTCAACAGAAATGCACTCCAAAATGAAAGTAGCATAATGTACCATGTATGGTTTAAATAGCATTTAACTTGTAAGGAGGAAATAAATCCAATTTTGGGAAAACATGTCATTAAATCACTCTGAAAGTAAGTAGGGTTAATTACTTGTTCCATTTTCAAAAAAAAAAGGCAGTGCAAAGGAAGCCTTATTTTCCTTGCTTGCTCCAACATGTGGCCTCCTGGCTAAGGTGGTACTAGTGCCCAACTAGTACAGGACACCAACATGGATAATTTCATTTCACCTTTTAACTCCCAAGATCTTATTAGTAATTCTCCTTACTGTCTGCCATACAGTTCTTATGATGTCAATTTGGAGAATTTGGTATTGGATCAACTAATTATCCCCTGATTGGTATTTTACTTTATTCTCATCACTTCTATGCTTAATATTGTATTGATATTGTAAGGAGAAATTCTCTCTTGGTCACTCATGGGAGGTAAAGGGTTAATTGTGAAAAGAAGGCCATTTGGAAATACAACCATTTTGACAAGGGTGGCTGCTTGTAAAACACTGAGCAGTCTAACAAGGAATGTTAATTTTTCACAATACCCTATACCAGAGAAAAATATCAACTCAAAATAGCCTGGCTTGGTAATCTGTCTATTATTCAATACTTCATGGGAACAAAATAATTTAACGTTCAAAAGAGAAATATTACTTCAATGCTTGCATCTCCCATTTGCTGAGGTTCATCATTGTCTGGTTCAAGACATCCTTCTTTGTCAATTTCTGTTCAAAAGTTAGAAAGGAAATATTTTCATGCAGTCATAAGCAAGGAATTTCATGTCAATATCTATTGACCATCTTTGAAAATCTCATGTACAAAGTGTCAAAGAAAATACTGCATCAAAACTGTAAGACTAACCAACATCGCTTTCCTCACTCTCACTGTCCTCAGGTTCTTTTGGTGCAGCCTTCTGCAAAGGGGAGCCATTAAGATTAAAAGTGAATTTTCTATCTTTTTGCTTTTTTCTTACTACTGACAATAGAACCTCTTTGACTCAACCTTGGTTACCTCAAACCCCCTGCTAATTTGAACAGGATCCAATTTCCCCTGTATTTGACATTGTCTTCAGCTAACTTGAACTCAGTTAATTTGAACTTCCAATTATCTCACAATAATTTTACTTTCCCTTGGCTGATAACTTGGACTTCAATAAAAAATGTCACCCCATAAACGTCAAAGAGCCAGGACATACCAGTAGCTGAATGATATATCCTAATCTTTAATTGCAATTATGAAAACATACTACCTTTAGCTAAACTTTCCAAACTAAACAGTCATATCAAAAAATCTCTAATAAAAGAAACTAAGTGTACAAAAATGGCTGTTGATTTTGATATTCAACACCACCCCATAACTCAAACTCCAGCTAACTCAACCTGTTTTCTGTTTCCGATGGGAGCTCGAGTTAGCGGAGTTCTACCATAATTATCTTCCAAAAAACTATCATACTTAATCATCACCTGTTAAAATTAACTAAAAGGTGAGGATGAATCAGCTCTAAGACAGAATATGTTATTGACTCTAAAGTCCTGTTTAAACAATTTAGACCTGGTTCTTTAGAGGAAGTTGAAATGTCCTTGGTGCAATCCTGCCTCAATTAAATTGCCCAATCTCTTTAAATCATCTTACGCACCTCTACTCCTGCGTTCTCCCCTATTTTAGGCATGACAGTTATAGATTTTCAAACTGTTATCAATCCTTTAACTGGATAATTTTGAAAGAATTACAAGCAATTTTAAGTGGTAATAAGAGGACTACTATGGGTGGCAAATTTTCTCAGGTGTCCTCTGAAAACAAGAACACTGTTACTCCCCAGGAAGTTGGACATTTATAAAGATAAAGAGAGTTGATCTACATTATACCTTTTCTGATGAAGCAGTGGGCTTTGGTTCTTCTTTATCCTTTTCAGCTGCCTTTGGCTTCTCAGCTGGTTTTGGAGGCTCCTCAGCTGGTTTTGGAGGCTCCTTAGCTGGTTTTGGAGGCTCCTCAGCTGGTTTTGGAGGCTCCTCAGCTGGTTTTGGAGGCTTCTCAGCTGGTTTTGGAGGCTCCTCAGCTGGTTTTGGAGGCTCCTCAGCTGGTTTTGGAGGCTCCTCAGCTGGTTTTGGAGGCTCCTCAGCTGGTTTTGGAGGCTCCTCGGCTGGTTTTGGAGGCTCCTCGGCTGGTTTTGGAGGCTCCTCGGCTGGTTTTGGAGGCTCCTCGGCTGGTTTTGGAGGCTCCTCTGCTGGTTTTGGAGGCTCCTCGGCTGGTTTTGGAGGCTCCTCGGCTGCTTTTGGAGGCTCCTCGTCTGGTTTTGGAGGTTCCTCGTCTGGTTTTGGAGGCTCCTTGTCTGGTTTTGGAGGCTTCTTGGCTGGTTTTGGAGGCTCCTCAGCTGGTTTTGGAGGCTCCTCGGCTGGTTTTGGAGGCTCCTCGGCTGCTTTTGGAGGTTCCTCGGCTGCTTTTGGAGGTTCCTCAGCTGCTTTTGGAGGCTCCTTGGCTGCTTTTGGAGGCTCCTCTGCTGCTTTTGGAGGTGGTTCTGGTTCTGGTTCTTTAGGTTTTTCTGGTGGTGGAGGAATCTTACCTCCCACGCTTAAAAGAAGAATATCGTAAAGAGTAATTAGACTAAACTGTCTACCATCATGCTCTCAAAATAATACTTAGAGCAGTCCTCCCTTATTGATGTTGAGTCAAGTTTCATTGAATATCACTGAAATTCTATCAGCAGTAAAGTAAATTATACCCTATAGCATTCTTCAACCTTAGGATTTACTCTTTTAGGATTCAGTGTAACAACTATTTTTTGTGTATGTGGGCAACAGACAAATCAAACCTAGTTTTCCATATCCAAATAATTAAAACACTACATTTGGAAGTTATAAAACAACTACCCTTTGTAAAAATGACACCAAAACACCTTTAAATAATGCAGCTAAATGCAATTTAACAGAATTAACAACAATGAGCATCAGCTTCCTATGGTAGTCATGTGCTCATCATTTGAGGGGTTATCGCATGTGCTTTGAGCGTGAACTTAACCCTTTAACTCCCACATCAAATTTGCAATTCTTCTTACTGTCAACCATACAATTCTTATGATATTAGTTCAGAGAATTTAGTATTGGATCAACTTATTATCCCCAAATTAATATTTATCTTTATTCTCATCATCTATCTTGTTGATATTGTGTTGATATTGTAGGGAAAAATTCTGTCACGGTCACTCATGGGAGTTAAAGGGTTTAAGAGTTGTGCCTTGTGTAGGAAAGGAATACAATCTATCATTCCAGTAAAACATACAAAAATACAAATCTTTTGAAGAAATACCGAGAGCATAAAGGTGCACAATTGATCACTACAACAAACAGGAAGTTTAAACAACTTCTACTTCCGTCTTGGTTGTAAGGTGAAAGCTTGTACTTTGCAATGACTCGCAAGTGTAACAAGTGTTTTTTTTTTTACTCAAACAGCGTCGTATTAATTCCTAAATCCTAGGGAAACTTCAGATTTTTTAAAAAAACAACATAAAATTGTATGGTTTCGAGAAAGTGAAATGTAGCCAAGGCCTGAGGTATTAGCGTTCGATATTTTGGGGACGTTACGTTTACGAGGAGGTCTAACATACCTGACATCAGGAAAAAGGAAAAATGAAATACACATATTTGAGATATCAACGTATTAAACGTATCAGTACATTTCTGTAGCAATCAATAACTTGGGGTCTCTGTTCAAAATTGTCACCTAGGCATTGTACAGTTGCACGTGCCTGTTATCTGACAGTATATTACAATAATACAAAGCGTATAAGTTACGGTACCTTTCCACCCAATCTTTGAAAAACTTCAGCTGTGGAGAATACAGCAGTTCAGGCTTCGTTTTACACAATTCGACAAATTGTTTGAGCAAGCTGAGTTGGGTACTATCAAATTTTGAGGCCATTTTTGCCCCTTATGAAGAAATAACTTCGTTCAGGTCAGGTTTCAGATTATGTATATTTTGCATTGACAACAATCCTCTGCGCGCTCTCTTTCGAAACCTGGGCCCTATTCGCACAACCTGTAACGGACGAGAGGATCTGAGGGCAGCCAGAGGAAACAGGAATAACTTCTCTAAGTATCCACCTTAGGGGTGGCGAGAATGAGTTTCAGAACGACGCAAAATACGAAAATGGGCTTCAAATTTACCCACTTTTCTTGTATTCCTTTGGATCAACCCATACAGTTCATTTTTTCAAAATCACGTCACTTTAGCCTAAATTTCATTTTCACCTACTTACTATTAATTTTAGCGTGTGACCGAGCCAAAACCTGGCTGTGCAAGGGAAGGTGAGTAAGGAAGGGAGGGGGGGATTGTGGTTTCGGGGGAGGGGGGGGGATTGTGGTTTCGGGCAGGGATGACATGGTTCCTATAGGGGGAGGATTTAGACATATTATTCTAGATAGTCTGGATGGGGTTAACTGACATCTGACCACAATTTTAACTGACAACCGACAAATCGCTGAAAATCTAACTGACAACTGACATTTGTGGTGGGCTTTTACTGAAAGCTGAGTAAAGACCGAATCGCCCTAAACATTCTTAAAACTGGATGTAAAATATGGACAGTTGATCTATTTTGTCCAATAAAAGTACATTTGTTATTACATATCAGTAAGAACACGCCAGAGTCTTCTATTTCATTAATTATTACCGCATAGAGTTGTTGGGCATGGATGGCATGGTTCCTACAGGGGGAGAAGTAAGGTATTGAAACTGCACTATGCGAAAATGAAATTTGTGGCCACGGAATGAACAACTCCCTGTCATGTAGAAATAAAACAATGTACTTTAACTCCTTAAAGGTGAAGTGACGTAGGTTGAAACTAAAATAAACAATTACAAAAGTTACATAACATATGATATAAAAAAATAACAACACGACGGAAAGAGAACTCTAAAACAATTACATTGTTACGGCCACAGAAGAGACCAATATTGATATTGCAAAAAATGCTGAGGCCAAAAAAAAAGAAAAGACAAGTGACTACGGCGTTCCGTTATACTTGAGAACTGCGCTTAGTGCCAAAAAACCGAGAAGAAAGGCATGTTGCCGATATATATATATATATATATATATATATATATATATATATATATATATATTTAACAAATAGATTCCAAGTTACCGTGCGTCTGTTCAGTAATAGATCACAGATGACGTCAAAATGTGGTAAGAATTAAAAAATAAGGAAAAAAAGTTTTAATGATAACGTCATATATACGTCTGTCTTCCAATAGATCATAAGTGAGAACCAATCAGAATGCGTGCATAACTGAGCTTATTATATAGATATATACATATATAAATATATATATATATATATATATATATATATATATATATATATATATAAATTACGCGAGGTAGCAATAAAGCGGTAATAAGGTGGGAATAAAAAATGACGAAAAATAAAAAGGTGCCAATGAAACAGTAAGTATAAACGTTGGCAAGTTACCGGGTGAAAAGACATAAATAATAAACTCTGAACACGTGAAAAATTCAACATGAAAAAATATCGCACTAAGAATTTACAGGTATGTGTCGTTTAGGGAGAAAACATGTGGGTAAAACAACTAGAACACGAAAGTGCAGAACAGAACAGAACAGAGGAATTGTATTTTCTAACGGAAAAAAAGAAGACAGATTTCAAAAATTGTTATATATTTTGAATAATTTTTACAATCACAAACGAGTCGCTAATTGACAAGCGACATCATCCGGTCTGAATTAAAATGGTTGAAAAAGATCATCGCATCGCAATTTTTCAATATCTCTTGAGCTTTTACATTCTGTTGTTTCACAGTTTGATATAATTCCAAAAAATATGTAACTCATTTCTGAAAACTAGTCATACTAATGGATCAAAAGAAGCGTTCGATCTAACTTGGGATGGATACTTTTCTCTCAGCGCAATGAATTAAAATAAAAATAATCAAAAGACTATAGCGAGACTCACAGTTCTGATTTGTAGTAATTCTATTTGTTCAATCAAACGGTTGCAATTTATCATCACCTCTTCCCATGCCAAACACACCGGAGCGAGTGTGCCCTCGGAACTTCACTTTGTCACATAAAATCGAGGTGAGTTGTCAGCCAGTCCAGTATGAATTCTCTTAACATCAAACGCAAAGAACAAATACCAGGTTCACTTGCTCAAGTTTAATTTTCCAGCCTCGCGAAATGTGCACGGCCACCACATTTATGTCTGAAAATGGTTTCTTTCTCCCCCTCCTAAAATATCAAACAGAGACAACTGTTTTTGCGGTTTTATTCCATTGTTTTTCCTCTTTTGTTTTTGTCTTTTTTCTGCATTAGGTAGATTCCACTAGAGAGAAATCTTAAGGTAGTGGTGTCAGGATTTCAACAAATGCTGCTGGAAATCGACCGACTTTCATTTCCAGTTCCCCTTGAAGCCACTCGTCATTTACGCGCTCCAGGAGTACAATTACGTCACCAGTCTGTAGGAAAAACAGACGCCATACGAAATTAATCCAGAGTGCGTTGGAAACATAGAAATAGAAAGATGTCCATAAAATGCTTGAAGCAAGTAGTTAAATGTGGAAGTGAGAAGAACTGATTAACAAGAATCTTACTTTAAAACACAGCTCATCTTCAAACTCGCCATTAAAATCAAACAACGCCTTGGCTTTTGGCGTTGGTTGCATTTCTCTTTCGACAGGTGGAAATTCTGTCTCTGCATGAAAGGAAAAAAAGGTACAAGTAAATATTTTTTGGCCGTTAAACGTAAAGTCGTGTGATGGTGCAGGTACTTAGTTATTAAAGCTAGCTTATTCAACATCGCTCTGCCCCTCCTCCTTACGACATTTCACTCGGAGATGTTCAAGCAGAGAAGAGGCACACAGAAGCCTCGTGAGTTTTCCCTTGGTAAGCAATTATCAACGCTGGTACGCTAGTTTCGGTCCTTTCTTCTCTTAATCTGGGCTTTTCAAGGCGCGATCGCATTCAAATTTACCCGCTTCAGTGCTCATGAATAACTAATAATGTCCAGGCATTTTGCGCGATGCGATTAAAATTTACTTTTCGAGTCCTTGTAAGCCTTATGTCGTTTCTTTACGAGTGAAAGTTGACTTCACTGGGGTAGGCAGAAAAGAGGGCTTAGCTAAATAAAGAGAGGGAGATACGTGCTAGTACTCAAAGAATTTACGTTGGACCTAGATGTAACATCCCTGACACGAAAGTAACTCGTCCTTCGCTATGGGTAACGCTTTGGTACAATGGTTAGTACTTGATTCAGGCTCCGGCATTGGCCTATTACGTAATGGTGACGTGTTCTTAGGCAAGATGCTTTGCGAAAAAATCAAAAATATCTCCCGTCACTTAAGGAAAAAATGGTACCGGTCAACCGTCAAAACTTCGTGGGGAAACATACGATTAACAAACATCCCATCCACTGGGGAGCAGTAATGCTCCAAACGCTATGGAATCTTCAATAGCTCTGTAAATCATTCTTGTAATAATGCTTTCCTTTCCGACATCATCCGTCGGCGGGGTAATAACCTAGGCCGATGGGTTAACCTACATAGCTGTCTATTTATTAGAAAGGTAAGCTTTTAATTCAATCCGTTACCTGATTCCTCTTTTGAAAGTTGCACAAAAGCCCGCGGAAACATTCCTTCCTGTCCTTTGTGTTTTCCTCTCAGCCATTCATCGTTAATTCTTTCGGTGATTTCTATTTTGTCTCCTTTATGGAACGTCAGTTCGTCGGCTGCTGAGCCGGTGAAATCATACAGTGCTATACCATTTTCAACATTGTGATGCTCTTTCTCCTCTGAATATAAATAGACAAGTTTGCTAGTGACAACCTCGGCAACCATTGGTCTTATTCAATTGTACACTGAGTTCCAGCAAAATTGAGGTGATTTCCACCTGGTAAAAGCGCTTTTCTCTTAATGACTCATTTTGCTACTATTTTTTAATTATTTCCATTTAACAATATACCATGTCACCTTTTTCGTTTTGTTTTGTCTTTTCAAGAAAACTGTGAATTGCTTAAAAAGCCGCAACTGGTCCTTTGCTTGGCCTTAGCGCCATCTTCATTATCACTTGTCGTTCTATCTGAACGTTTATATTTGCATGCAGAGTGAAGCAGGTTTGCAGCTAATAATGGAAAAAAACTATTTCTCGTTGAAAACCCCCCCTTCGACAATACCCAGGTTTATCGATTTTCTAAAACCGCCTTTATATAGCCAGCCGGCAATTTCTCTTCGTTCGCACGCTAACTGCCTCTACCACGTGAAAGCAATACTACTTTGATCGAGCGTTGGTCCACTCAACTATCCAGCGCTTTTCATACGCTTCTCAAAATTCTTACACAATGACGGAAAACTCCTCCAAAAAGAGCTTTCTTCAGCTTTATTCACCGTGGGAAGTGAGACGTCGAAGATGAAAGCTTATTGCTTACCTGGTTGCTTCTTTTGTTCTGGCACGTCGTGAAGAATTTCTACATAGGCTGCCGGAAACATACCCATTTTTCCTTGAAGTTCGCCTTCAATCCAATCCTTGCCTACTCTCTTGTTAATTCTGATGACATCTCCGGCATTGAAGCTTAGATCTTGCGAGACGTCGCTATGATAATCATACAACGCCTCGCAGAACAAATTTGAACTCGGGTTCGAAGATTCTTCTTCATTACCTTTGGATATGGTCTCCTTTTCCTCATACTGAGGCAACTTCTTGATTACATCTGTACTTATATCAACGAAGTTACATGGAAAGGCCCCGGACTGCTCACGGAGTTCGCCCCTTAACCAATCGTCGTTGATCTTGGCGACCACGTGAATAATTTCACCCGCAGTGAAGTCTATTTCGCCATCCTCCAGGTTTCCATGAAAATCATACAATGCCATCACGTTGAATGGGGAGCTCTCTGGCGGTGTAGCTGGCTGCACAAAAAATAAAACATGTTTAGCATTTCAGCGGTCTA